CCATGCTCTCCGTGGAGAATCCCTGTGTTCAGTTGCCCCCTTTGGTCCCCCTCCAGGTAGGAAGCCCCCTTCACATTGCAATAGCCCGAGGGGCAGGAGCAGGGCAGGAGCTGGCAGGTTGAGCTGGACGGCTGCTTCTATAGCAGCTGGTGCAGGAGGCCCTTCCTGACGCCCACTCCAGCCAATTCGGCTGCTTTGCTGCCACTTCTTCCTACCACGTGTGCCCCTCCCAGGGCCTCCTTCCCGGCTTGCCCTCTGGGGTAGCCGTCTGTGCAGCACCTTCCTACCGCGGGTGTGTTCACGCCTATCTCACATGGCAGCTGTGGCTCGAGGGGTAGAGTAACTGCTGAAGACCACTTGGTGGGCAGGGGGTGGGGGCGCAGAGCTAGGAGCGTGCCTGGGATCCACGTGGCTGCAAAGTCTTATATTCCTCACCTTATCCCCAATGTCCCTGGGTCTCCTATAACCTGAGCACAGAGCTGGGGCCTGATAGACCTGGGGAACCATTCAGGAACTAAAATGTGGCTCAACTCTCTGGGAGGACGCAGCTTTGGACCCTAGCTGCCACCTCACACCTTCTTCTCAGCAGAAGCCAGACTGGTGAGGGTGGGAGATGTGAACAGGGGCCCCAGGGGGGCGTGCTAGGGGGCCGCCATTGAGCAGTGGCCAAGATTTTGGTGGCAGGAAGTGAGCATTCCCCCAGCTGTTGGGGAGGAGCAATCCACTGGGGTGGCCTGGTATTAGGGCGTTAACCCTGAGGCCGTGGAGAGGCAGAGACTTGGCTGACGGGGTCTGGGGGTGCCCACCATCCTGATAGAGACCCTGCATTGTGCCCCTGCTCCAGCCTCCCCCCCCCCCTTCCCCTCACTGGGTCTTCTGGGGGAGGTAACATCCGGTCTTCCTGTCTTTGTATCCATCAGTACCTCTTGTCACTCCAAGTCAAACCTCCAGGTCTACATGGGCTAGCAGACTGGTACTACAGAAAGAGATCTTTGTTCCTTGAGCTCTCTCCCTCTCTCTTTTATTTATTTTATTTGAAAGGCAGAGTGACAGAGAGAGAGTGGGAGAGAGAGAGAGAGATCTTTCATCTAACTGCTGGTTTACTCACCAAATGCCCACAACAGCCAGGGCTGGGCCAGGGAGAAGCCAGAAGCCAGAAGCCAGTAACCCCATCCAGGTCTCACATGGGTGGCAGGGCCCCAAGTACTTGGGCCACCATCTACTGCCTGCTAGGCTCATTAGCCGGAAGCTGGATCAGAAGTGTGGAATAGCCAGGACTCGAACCAGGCACTCCAGTATGGGATGGTGCCACAAGGCCCACCCTTGCTCTGCCTTTCTAGTGCTTGTTGCAAACTCCTATGCTAGGAAAACACCTAGGAACAGTCAGGAGAGAGACAGCGCTGGATCCCCAGCCAGACACAAGGTATGGGTGGGGGAGGGGGGAACCAACCCAACTCTAGGTCAGTGCCCAGCCAGGCCCCTGGGGCAGGGCAGACAGTGAAGGGGAAGGTCTCCTCCCATCACAGAGAATCCACCTGGAGCAACGAGGAGACAGCAGCCAGGCCCACGAGCCTCCCCTGGCCCTTGCTCTGCGCCTTCGTCCATGGGCTTCCAGGTGCCGAGCGGGAGCTTCCCTGAGCTATGGAGGTGACAGGACGCCAGGACAAAGTACAACCATTGTGCCTTGGGCCTGATCACTACTTCCTTTGTCTGGGGCCGCTGCTGGCTCCTGGCTGCCTTTCACACTCTCCTCCGCCCCCTCCCTGTCCCTGTCTCCCCTCCCCCTCCCCCTCCCCGATCACCGTCCCCTTCCTCCTTGGCTCTCTGCTGACTGGCTGCAGAGCCATGGGCCATGGCCGCCCTGGTCCTGAGGCTGGGGCTCCGGGGAGCCTCGCACAGGGACCCCGCGTGATCTGTGTCGGGGCTGTGCCCTGCTCCAGTCCCCCAGCTGGCCCGGTGACCTTGGGCCCTGACCCCTTTCCTGCAGCAGCCTGGGGAGGCAGGACAAGTGGAACTGAATTAGTGCAAGGGGACCAGCCCGGGGAGAAGAGAAGGTGCCACGGAGATGGTGTGGTCTCATCGTGGCTGATTTGTTTCTTTTTGCCTTTTCCGAAGATCCAGATGGTTGGAGGGCATCCCTGGGAGTTGGTGACACCATCCTGGGGCTAGGATCCAGAGTAGACGTCTCTTCTGTGTCACCAACCTAAATGAATAGTAGACCCAGGGGGCTGTCCCCACCCTAATGCAGCTGGCTCAGTACCCCCAGGCTAGGTTGCAATCCCAGTCTTTTACAAAGGGACGTCTGCCACTGGGCAGAGCCCACAGGGGAAGCTCAGAGAAGCTGTTGTAACATTGCTGGGGGTGAGGGGAGGAAGGTGGCAGGCCCTAGGCTGGAGGGGGACCTGGAGCTATGAAGGGACAGTTGATGGCTCCCTGTCCAGGGGACCCCACGCCGCCAGCCTCTCCCTGACCAGGGAGATCTCTGCTGCCCCTCTGGGGCTGAAGACAGTGGAGATGGGAGAGGGCCAGAGGAGGGGCTCCGGGCCCAGGGCCTCCCAGCCTGTGCTCCTGGGTGCTGGGGGCAGACTAGGGGGAAGCAGAATGGCCTCCCTTCCACATCCCACTCAGCAGTCTGCAGCAGGGAGCCCAGGTGAGGCGGCCTGCCTGGAAGGGGGCGGGAGCCAGCAAATAAACATTGACTAACTGTGCAAGGCCTTGTCCCTGCTGCTGGGGGCCGGCCAAGTGGTGGAGACATGCCGGAGCACGAGTGATGGAAAGGTGGGCTGTGGTGGCCGCCAGCTGGCCCACTGGGGGACACCCCTCTGGTGGAATTGGGGCACTAAGGAGGTAATCTAGCACCCCCCACCAAACCACAGTGCTGCGTGCAGAGGGAGGGGGCTGGCTGAGTCACCTCCTTGGGTCGTTTTGGGCAAACCGGGGGCAAAACTGCTGCATTCTCATCCCCACTCCCATCTCCAGTCCTGGCCTCGGCAGAGGCTCCATCGGCCCTGGGCCAGCCCTGGTCAGGGCCTGCTGGGCAGGTAAGGAGACTGGTCCCTCTCTTCCCACAGGTAGCACAGCCCCCAGTCCTCTGCTCCCCGGGGGTGCCTGAGAAGGGCTGGGCCAAAGCCCAACCAGGACTTTTTCCAGGCTGGGTCCTATATGCAAGGGTGGGGTGGGGGGATTTGGGGAGCATGGAGGGAAGATATAAGACAGGGGAGTTGCAGGAGAAGGGGGCTTTGAGTGATGGCCCGGGATGGGGCAGAGACCGGTGAGGCTTCGAGCCTGCAGAAGCAGCCAAGGCAGCCAGAGGGTCTGGGTGGCTGGGGAGAGCCCCCCGTTTTTGCTCAGAAGATGAGCGTGAGCTGGGGCCCGGGCTGATGGAAGCCTTGGCCCCCAGCCTGGTGGGAGCCCAGGGCAGCTGGCCTACAACCGGTCCTTAGTGCGGCAGGGGAGCTTTGAGTCATCACTCAAGTCCTGGCCTCCATCCGCCCCCACCAGCCCCCTGGCCTCAGTTCCCTGGCAACATCTGGGGGGGGGGGGTGCAGCAGGAACAAGGGCTTCTGTCTGCCCAGCTGCCTCTCCCTTTGGGCTCTGCCAGACTCTCCAGTGCATACGTGGGCTCCGACAGGTCCTCTTCCCTCTGGGTCAGTGACTAACCGCGGAACCCCACGCTTCCCTGCCTCAGCTCCACAAACTTAGTGCCAAATTCTTCTCCCGGGGGAGCCTCCCTGGACACTTCCCAAAGGACCCCAGGCACCCTAGCCTGCCAGCTGCCAGATAAGGGCTCCAGATGGGGACACTGTCCCCTCTGTGCGCCGTGCAGAGCCCTCTGCCCACGAGGCCTTTCCAGTTCCGAAGACGCAACTGCTCGGGAAGTCAGAAATGGGGGTTGCGGGCGTCAGCCACCCTCCCCTTCCCAAGGCCCATTCGCTCTCGAGCCAGAACAGGGCTGTGCAGGCAGTGGTCACTAGGGGGCGCTCGGCCACCGCCGGGAGCTCGTGAACTTGGGAAAGTCGCGTCTGCGTGAGTGAGAACGCGTGTGTCAACGTGTGTGTTTGTGTGAGCGCGTGTGTAGGGGGCGAGGGTGCTGCGTGGGGAGGAGGCCGGGGGTCACTCCAGGGTTCCAACAGCTCTGGGCCCCTTCCCCACCCGTCCCTGACGGGCTCCCCGCCCGTCCCCCGCCCTCCCCAATATTCCCGGCAAAGAGGCACCAGCTCGCAGCCCTGTCCGCACATAACCTTAGTTTCCTGCTCCCGCCCCCTGGACACCCCGCGAGCGTGCGTGTCTCTAGGCAGAGTTTCAGGGGGGCGCGCGGCAGTTCTCAGGCTGCTAGCCTTGGTGGTGGTGGTTGAGGGGGCGTCGAGCGTTCCCTTCGCCGCGGTGGGCTAGGGGGTCCAAGCTGAGCTGGGTGCCCCCGGGGAAGGCGGTGCCTGCACGGATTCGGCTTGCGCCCGCCTCCCGCCCCTGTCCCCGCCCCCCGGGGCGGGCTCGGGGCGGGGTTGGGCCTATTTTTCAGTCGCCTGGGAGCGGTGAGGAGCGCAGAGGCTTGGGGCAGCCGGGCTGCGAGGAGGCCGCGGCGCAGGGGGAGCGGAGCCGGCGGCAGCGGCGCTCGGTCGGGAGGCGCAGCGGCGAGGCACACGGTCCCGCGGACGCACCGGCCAGGGCCCCCGCGCTGGATTTCCATACTCATTTAGCTGGGGTTTACCCCTCCTCGTTTCTTCTGAAACCTTAAAAAAAAAAAAAAAGACTGAATTGTTTCCCCGTTGTAATTGATTTTTGCTTCCCGTTGCCCACTGAAGACGGGCAGACGGTTCGGGGAGACTGCTCTTTAACTCCCCCCAGTCACTTCGGATTTTGGAAACGCGCAGAGGAGGAGCGAGGTGGCAAGAGCTCCGGAGAGAAGTCGAGGAAGACAGACGGGGTTGGAGAGCGCGCGCAGGCGGGCGAGCAGCGAGAGGGACCGGGGCAAAGTGAGTGACCTGCTTTCAGGGGGGTGACCGCCGGAGCGCGGCGCAAGCTCTCCCCCCTCGGGACCCCGCGCAGGAGCAGCCGCGCTGACGGACAGACAGACAGACACCGCCCCCAGCCCCAGCGCCCACCTCCTCCCCGGCCGGCGGCCCACGGTGGACGCGGCGGCGAGCGGCGGGCAGCAGCCGGAGCCCGCGCCCGAAGGCGGGGTGGAGGGGGTCGGGGCTCGCGGCATTGCACTGAAACTTTTCGTCCAACTTCTGGGCTGTTCTCGCTCCGGAGGAGTCGTGGTCCGCGCCGGGGGAGCCGAGCCGAGCGGAGCCGCGAGAAGTGTTAGCTCGGGCCGGGAGGAGCCGCCACCGCCGCCGCCGGAGGAGGAGGGGGAGGAGGAAGGAGAGAAGGAAGAGGAGAGGGGGCCGCGGTGGCGACTCGGCGCCGGGGAGCCGGGCTCATGGACGGGTGAGGCGGCCGTGTGCGCAGACAGTGCTCCAGCCGCGCGCGCGCCCCAGGCCCTGGCCCGGGCCTCGGCTCCGGGAGCAAGAGGAGCTCGCGGAGGCGCCGAGGAGAGCGGGCCGTCCCGCAGCCCGAGCAGGAGAGGGAGCGCGAGCCGCGCCGGCCCCGGCCGGGCCTCCGAAACCATGAACTTTCTGCTTTCTTGGGTGCATTGGAGCCTTGCCTTGCTGCTCTACCTCCACCATGCCAAGGTAAGCGGCCGTGCCCGCCTGGCGCCGCGGGCCGCTGCGAGCGCCTCTCCCGGCTGGGGGAACGTGCGTGCGTGCGAGCGCGCGCGTGGGGGACTCCGTGCCCCCACTCGGGTCCGTGGGCACCGGCGCGCGGCATCCCCCTCTGCCGTCGTACGTGGAGGGGGAGGGGGCGCGCGCTAGGTGGGAGGGCACCGGGGGTAGGCTCACCGCCCACGCGGGCCCTGCCCACCCACCGGAGTCGCCGCACGTACGATCTGGGCCGACTAGCCGAGGGCGGGAGTCGGAGGAGGAGGCCGAGGGGGCTGGGCTTGCGCTGCCGCTGGCGGCTGAAGTTTGCTCCCGGCTGCTGGTCCCCAGCGAACTGGAAGTCCGGGCAGCGGGGGCGGGAGCCAGGGCCCAGTGGGCAGGGTGGGGGGTGCTCGGACCTTGGACCCGGGAGGGCAGAGAGCGTGGAGGGGGCAGGGCGCAGGCGAGGGAGCGGGCGCGCTGCTGTCAGTGCCACTCGGTCTCTTCGGCCCTCGCCGCGAGTTGGGGAAAAGTTTTCGGGTGGATTGTTGTGGGGACCCCCCTCCCTGCCGGCCACCTGCGCCGCGCCACCCCCGCCCGTCCCCGCTCGCGTCCCGCTCGGTGCCCGCCCGCCCTCCCCCGCCCGGCCGGGCGCGCGCGGCGCGGAGCCGATTACATCAGCCCGGGCCTGGCCGGCCTCGTGTTCCCGGAGCCGCGGCTGCCCGAGCCGGGAGCCCCGGACGGCGAGCGGCGCCCCTCCCCCGCGCCGGCCGGCCGGGGGAAGGTGACCTCTCGAGGTAGCCACAGCCCGGGGACCCGGAGGGCCATCCCCACCCCTTCCCGCCGTCTCCAGCCCCTACCCGGGCCGTGTTCTAGGACGCCCCCTCCCCCTTTTCCAGTTTCCTCCCTCGGTGGAGAAGTCTCTGCCACCCCTTGCTCTGGTACTCCTCCCTGCTGGGAAGACCCATCCGAGGCTCCAGAGTCCAGGGAAGGGACGGTCACGGCCACAAGTCGGGGTGCGGGAGCCATCCGGGTGCTTTGTCCGCACTAAGGAGCTGCCCACTTGGTGACAGTGTGCCTCTCGCTTCCCCGGAGGTTCCGAATGAGCCATGCTTTAGCTTCTGTGGGGGAGATCTTGGAGAGTGGCTTCACCCCACTTTACCCTTTTTGGAAAAAAAATGACATGGGCGGCATAGGAGCAGCCCTTCCAGAACCCTTGGGAGCAAGCTCTCCTGCCAGCCCTGCACTCAGGCTGCAAACGTCCGGGCCAAACAGGGTGTTGGAGCAGGTGGTTTTTTGGAACTCCAGACTTGCCCACCCGACTCGCCTCCCAAGGCTACCCACGGGGTCCCTTTCTGCTCCTCTCTTAGACCTCCCCTCAGCCGCAGAGTCCCCTTGGAGAGGAGGCGGAAGGAAGGAAATGGGCAGGGGTCCCTGCCACCACCCAGAGTTCCTCAGACCCTGGCACAAAGACCTTGGCTCCAGGCCTCCCAGTATGGAGGAGGGGCCGAGTGGCAGCCTGGCCGCAGAGTGACCTTCAGAGGCCCCCAGAGAAGGGCACCTGGCCCCTCCCTGCCTAGAGCTGCCCCTCCAGTGCCCCCTGGCCTTGGAGGGAGCAGGAAGTTTCCGTCCCCTTGCCTGGTAGGGCCCTGGTGGGGTGGAGGACACAGGGGGCATGTTGGCAGGGGAAGCCCCAGTGCAGAGCTGGCAGGGAGGGGGGAAGCCCAGGAGGCTGTGGTGGGAGGGTATCCAGCTGGGACCGCTATCACTGGGGGTGAGGCTGGGGGACCTCAGTGGGGTGCCTGGGAATGGGTGAGAGGCAGGCAGTAGGAAGGACTCCTTTCTAGTGGGGTCTGGAGTTCCGAAGCTAGCTGCCATGCCCGGCCAGTGGCTGTGCAGCTGGGAACTGCTCCCCGAGAGGAGCAGGTGGGTGGGGGGAGGTGGTGAGAACTCGGGACCCTCAGGAAGGGCCCGGGGAAGTCTCTGCCTACTGGGTGCTGTCAGGGCCACATGGCTGTGCTTGATGACCTTCACAGCTTCTGGGGAGGGGAGGAATGACCTGGTGGGGGTGGGGAGGGGTGGGGGCGGCGCCACAGGGGGCCCCCTAGGGGCTGGGCAGTGCTAAGGCAGAAAAAGCTTCCGTGGGTTGCATTTGAGGAAGGTGCCCTAGGTGCCCGGGACCTTGGGAACCCCCCCCCCCCACTCAGGGAGGAGGAGAAACCAAGGCATAAGGTGGGAGCAGGGGCCGGTGTGGCTTGGGGAGTATGTTCAGGGAGACTTGTACAGGGGACGACGGGGCTGTCCCCTTGCCACAGGTTTTTACCTTCTGAGCAGCCCGTGGGTGTGCTGAAGATTCCTGAGGCCTAGGAGGGTTTGCATGGGGGAGGGTGGCTGGGTGCCCTTCGGTCCTCTGCACCCCCCCGCTCCAACCCCAGCTCACCCTGGTATTTGTCATGTCAGCAGGAGAAGGTCACCATGTTGTTTTTCTCGCCCCCAGTCCTTCCTTCCTGCCCCAGTCCAAATTTGTCCTCCTATTTGACCTTACTACTCAGCCGCTGCTCTGGACCAGGGACTCCGGGGGGCAGTGGGAGCGAGGAGAGGGGAAACGCGGGAAGGGACCGGGTCCTGGACAGGGCAGCCATCTGGTGCGTGTGTGCTGCTCCTGCCTGTTGAGTGGCCTGCTCCCCAACATCTGGTCAGCTCTTAACTTTCCTGGGGGTGCACGTTGGAGTCGGCCGGGGGTGGTGGGCATGCTCTGTGCCCGGGGTGACCCCCCGACGGGGTACCCTTCCCCTGAGAAGCCTTAGAGGAAGCCGAGCTTGTGGACAAGGAGAGAGGCCGGGAGGGAGGAGGGGCTGGGGGAGCGGGCCTCTGCCGAAGCCTTACCCTTTGTCTGTTCTCAGTGGTCCCAGGCTGCACCCATGGCAGAAGAAGGAGACAATAAACCCCACGAAGGTGAGTCCCCCTGGCTCTGGCCTGGAGCCTGGGTCCCTGGCCCCTCAGGGGATAGCTGGGCAGGCCCACTTCCTTCTTTGTAGACCTAAACCAGGAGGGAGTTCCCGGGAAGGGGCTCGGGCTATGGGGATGAAGACAGACAGAGGTGAGCACCATGGATTAACCCTTCAGTTTCTTAAGGGGTCTTGTGTGTTCCAGCCTCTGCTGGCCGCAGGACTTGGTGCCTTTTTTTCCTGCTCTTTCCAGTAAAATTTTATTCGGAGAAGGAGACAGGGAGCACGAGCCAGGGAGATGGTTCAGGGATCCCAGATGTTGTGGGAGGTGCCCCTTGCCACCCCCTGCTCCCCGGGAGGATGGGTGCTTCATGTCCCTAACTACCTAGCCAGGTCCCACCTGGGGATTGTCACCCTTCCCGTGTGAGGTGTGAGCTGGAGGTGCCCAGGGTCCAGCCTGATGGGGTCCCCACCTGCCCCTGGGGCTGCTGTCCTGGCGGAGACAGCCCTGTCGCTGGGTTCGGGAGCTGTGAACTTCCATCCTGGGCCAGCAGAGGGCTGGCTGAAGCTCCCGGGTGCCCCGCCCCCCCCGCCCAGCCCGAGTCTGCCTGTCTTTTGTTCCGCTGTGGTTTGGAGTACGGGAAACTCCCATTTCTCTGGGGACGCCCTGGCTCTCCCCACTACTGGATGCGGCCTCTGGTCCAGTCCCACGCTGCTTTCCCAGCGCTCCACCTCCAAGCAGGGAAGGCCCTGGGGTCTTCCTCCAGGCAAGTGTTCCTGACCCGAATCCAGTGGGGCTGGGGTAGCTACCAGGGGTGGTGGTGCCCAGCCGGTTCTACCTCCTCCTTCCCCACCCCAGGAGCCTTGCCTTTGGCCCAAGGCCTGGCTTCCTGGCCACTCCCCAGTCTGTGCCACGGACAGGCACCCCCCACCCCTTCCTAGTGTGCCTGCCACCCACCCTCTTCAGCTTCCCAGTGGTCCCTATGGTCTGGGAGAGGCAGGACAAACGGTCTTTGTTTGCTGGAGAAAGGTTGTCCATGATAAATAAGGAAAACTAGGATTTGGCACGCACCTGTGTGTCTGTGTGTGTGTGTACGTGCACGCGTGTGCACCTGCCTGTGCAGGAGGGAGGCTGCCTTCCTTGGAGGCAGTGGCTGGGGCACCTGGAGTCCTGGGGAAGTTGCCTCTGTCTACTCCCATGGGCTTTGAGGGTTCCAGGGAGAAGCTTTCCCAAGGACTTCCCAGCCCAGGTCTTTCTCCTCTCTGCCCAGCCCCCAACCCCACCGCCTGGCCAGACCTTTTCCCATCCGTTCCTGGGCAGACGCCCTAAGCCTGCGCTGTCTGTCCCAACCACGGGGACGGATCTGCTCTAAAATTCTCCATTCACCATCTTCTTCCATGTAGATTTACCTTAAAAAGTGACTTTTCCAGATCTCCGATCTCTCTCTCTGTTTCTTTTTTTAATTTATTTTTGGCTTTCCTTTGCCTTGGTCGTTTAGGGGTGGAGACAGGTTGTGCGCCCGTTGTTTGGACAGGGGAAGGAGAGAGAATTCCTGCCGAGGCCGGAATTCCCGTACTGTTCCTCCTGCATTCACACCTGCTGCTTCTCCTCCACCCACTGTGGTTTCGCAGCCAGCCTGTTCTGTTCATACCCCTGGTCTTATCTTCCTGAGCTCCCTGGAACACAAATCTTGGAGGGAGGAGGGAGAAGGGAGGCGGAGGCTCAGCTGTATTCTCTGGTTGGGGGGGATGGTCTCCAGGGCAGCCGCCTGCAGTGCCTTGGTGAAGTTCCGGCCCAAGAAAAGGGTGCCTGTTCCCAGTGCTAGAAGTGGGGAGACAGAACCATGTGGGTTGAATGACGTAGAGACCAGCTCAACCTGCTTACACAGATGAGCAGAGTCAGAGGCCCGGGGAGGGCCGGGCCGGCCCAAGGTCACATCGCTCCATGAGAGCCTGGACCTCCCTGCCACTGGCCGGGGGTATTCCCTCACTTCAGGGACAGGGCTGCCGTGCTGTGCCGAGCCGAGCTGAGCCGTGCCGTGGCGGGGGTGTGGTCACAGCCTGGAGTGCCTCGTTTGTGTGCTCTCCGGTGCTCTACCCCTATGGCCCCAAACTCCCCCTTCATGCTCCATTGCACCCCAGGCTCCGCAGCCGGCCTGGGAAGCCGTCTCTGCCCTGGGCTCCTCCAGCGCAGCTTCTCAAAGGGCTCCGTGGCCACGCTGCTTTTTCCATGATGCAAGCAGTTTGCCCTCTTGGGCGGGGTTATCGGCGGCTGGTAGGGCCGGCACGGCTCGCCCGCCTGCTGCCACCTGCTGATTCCAGGCAGGCCCCGCCCTGTGCTGGTGCCCACCACCGCCTCAGCCCGTGACTTGGGGAGAGGGCCTGGCAGGTGGCACGGTGCCTCCCGAAGCTTCGCCCCTGTTTCCGCGTGACGCAGGCGTGGCCGGGCTTTGATGTCAGAGCTGCTTCTAACTCTCCAGTCACGAGCCGTGTGGCCTTGGGGCGAGTCCCTGAGCCTCTCTCTCCCCGTTTGTGAGCTGGGCTCCTAGTAGAACAGCAGAGTGCTGGGTGGGGAGAGTCGTGGGAGGCGAGAGCTCTGGACCGCGAGTGTGGTGCCAGCGTGTATTCAGCGCTCCGCTGGTACCGGCCTTGGTACAGTTGCTGGGGTAGTGGCAGCTGTGGCAGGGCTGCGGTGGTGAGCTCAGGCAGGCCACACTGTCCCCTGACCTCAAGGTTGGTACAGGAGCTGGCGCGCCATGCCATCTAGGCATCAGGTGTGGCAGGCCATCTCCCCCGCCACTTGACAGCCTCCCATGGCCTGTGGATTGAAACCAGGTGCTCACCAGTGTCGGCCGCGGCTGAGGGAGGGGCTTCACCCAGAGCAGGGGGCATTTCAGTTAGGCTTTTGGAAGGACTGTCTGATCCTAGGTGCCTCTTATAGTAGCCCGGAGGAATGGCCTTACTGAGCTGGGTGGAGGTGGGGGCTGGCCGCCACCGGTTGTGTCACCCACCAGGCTCATCTCTCTCCTCTCTGCCCTCCCCCCTCCATGCAGTGGTGAAGTTCATGGAAGTCTACCGGCGCAGCTACTGCCAGCCGATCGAGACCTTGGTGGACATCTTCCAGGAGTACCCTGATGAGATCGAGTACATATTCAAGCCTTCCTGCGTGCCTCTGGTGCGCTGTGGGGGCTGCTGCAATGATGAAAGCCTGGAGTGCGTGCCCACCGAGGAGTTCAACGTCACCATGCAGGTGGGCTGGGCCTGGCCCTGGCCTGGGAGCGAGCAGGGGAGCCAGGGGCAGGAGGGCGTGGTGGGGTCTCGCTTTCCTTAGGAAAAGAAGACAGCCTGCATTCCTCAGCCTGGGTTCGCAGCCAGCCCCCCACCCTGACCTTTGTCCCCTAGGCTTAGGATGGGGCTGATGCCTTGACAGGAGCCCCCCTCTTCCCCTCCGGGAGAGAGCCCCCGAGGGCCCGCCTGCTCTGGGGACTCCTTGGGGGAAGCTAGGCGAGCCTGGTCCATGAGGTCTTTACAAAGCCTGTCTCTTGGTGCTCCCTGGTGAAGGGGCACATCTCATCCCAGATGGGGGGGGGGGTGGGTCTCTGAGGACCAGGGAGGGAGTGGCTGCCGGGGCCATGGGAGGAAGGAAGGGAGGGTGTGGGAAGTGGTGAGAACCCAGGACCGAAATTCCCAGCCTGGCCAGCCCTCGCAACCCCCTCTGCCTCAAGCGGAGCAGGGGCCCCTTGAGCCAGCGGGCTTGCCTCTGCTTCAGCCACCCCTGCTGTGTAGAGCCCCTAGGAGCTGGGTGGCTGGAGCCCGGGGGTGTCCCATCTGGGTATGGCTGGCTGGGTCACTGATCTTTGTATCTGCTTCCTTCCCCCAGATCATGCGGATCAAACCTCACCAGGGCCAGCACATAGGGGAGATGAGCTTCCTACAGCACAACAAATGTGAATGCAGGTGAGGACGGAGTCGGGGGCTCGTTTAGCTAACAGAAGGCTGTGGGCTGCCTAGTCTGCGCCGGGGTTCGGAGTGCTGTGCTTGTTAGCCCATGTCGGCCTTCCAGCTGGTGACCTGGGCGGTCAACTGCAGTGTGCCTCAGTTTCCACATCTGTAAAACGGGCACAGTAATAGGCTGCACCTTACAGTGTTGTCGTAAGGATTAAAGGAGTTACTATGCGTGAAGGGATTGAAACAGTGTTATGATATCGTCAATCTTGTTTCTACTATTGTTATTATAACTCCTGTCATTAGCCTCACCATCTTAATTCTTCTGTTTTGTTCTTTTCTCTTTCTGTACCCATTGCAGACCAAAGAAAGACAGAGCAAGGCAAGAAAAGTAAGTGGTCATGACTTTAGCACTCTTTTCTCTCCTCGGCTGGTGGTCTTGGTTTGGGGCTCCTGGCTCCCCCTGTCCAGGGTTCTGATGGTCTCACTGGGTCGGGGAGCTGGTCTCTGAGGGGCTTGTGGTGGCAGTGGTGGGACGGAGCTCCGGGGTTGGTGAGAAAACTGCCAGCTGCAGCTGGCGCTTCCTTAGGAGGAGATTATGCCTTTTGGAACTGCAGGTCATTGTGGACCTGCACGTGCTGTTTCGGTGTCGGTGGGGGAGGGCAGTGTGGCCCCAGGCTTTCTGGCTGGCTCCGGCCCCCCTCCCCCAGCAGGGAGAGGGAGCAGGCAGGCAGAGAGGCCAGGTTCTGTGTGTCAGGAAGCAGCCCCTTTTGGTGGTGGCTGTGACATTGCACTTGGATCTGGGGCCACCCGGAGGGGTTTCCTGGCGCGTGCCCGCCTGCAGGAGAGGGGCAGGTGGCACACACGACGCTGCCTTGGCTGGGGAGAGGAAGTAGCCAGCGGTCACTTTCTGAGGCTTCCAGTTGCTCAGTGCGGAGGGTCAGGATGGGGTTGGGGGGGCAAGCGTGCCTTCCAGATGGGGTGGGCAGCTGACAGATCGGGGGCAGGGGTGAGCCTGCAGGAAGGAGAGACTGAGAGAGAGCACCCATGCCTGTCCCTCCCCAACTCCTCCCTTCCTGTCTGCTCCCCTACGACTGTTTGGTGGACATTGTAGCCCCCTAGGCCTCACCCCTTAACTCGTCTTGCCTAAGCCCCCAGCTTCCAGGATTGATGTTGCTAGCTGAGTAATGATACGGGAGGATGAGCTTGGAGCTGCAGGGAGAGAGAAGAGCGAGCGGGCACACTCCGTGCAGAGACCCCCCTCCCCCTTTCCAGTGCTTTCTCCCCAGGGCAGCACAGATTTGCCCCGTCCTGGGCCCCTTCTCCCCTCCTCTCCCCCGAGACAGTTCTCTGGGAGCTGGCAGGTGAAGAGTGAGGACTATGCTGGTTCCCGCGAGGGGACAGGCTACAGCCTGCCCCCACTGCCCATTCCCCAGGCAGTGAGTGGGGTCTCGCCTGAGCTCGGAACAGCCTGGAGATGTGGTACAGCAGGCTTGGACAGGCTGCAGAGACAGCACCCTGCCAAATGCCGCCCAAGCACCTCCTCCTAGCCCTCCCCTCTCTGCCTGGGGCTCTGAGGACACCCAGTGGGCCACCCCCCTACCAAGGTCCGGCCCACCTGTTACAGCTTCCTGGTGTTTAGAGCCAGACCCGCATGGGGTTGCTGGGCAGAGCCCACCCTTGGTGCTTGCCCCAAGCCTGGGACTAGGAGCCACCACGTGCGTGGAGGCCCATGGGTCTCTGCCTCCAACCACAGACTTGCCAGGGGCTGGGTTTGCCACCGCACCATGGGCAGAGTGAGAAGGAACCATGAAGCACGTGCTGGTGCTGTCACGTGGGCCTCCCCAGAGGGCACCTGCCCCCCCCCATTGTTTCCCCACTCTCCCCTTCCTCCTCGCTCGCTCTCTGTCTGTCTCTGTGTTTTTATTTTCCAGAAAATCAGTTCGAGGAAAGGGCAAGGGGCAAAAACGAAAGCGCAAGAAATCCCGGTATAAATCCTGGAGCGTGTACGTTGGTGCCCGCTGCTGTCTCATTCCCCGGAGCCTCCCTGGCCCCCCAACAGGCTTCCACCTGCAGCACCCCATAACCCTGCCTCTCCCCTCCCCCTGCCCCGTGTCTCTCTCTCACTCACTCCACTAATCGGCACCAGCGGGCAGACGTGGTGGTGGTGTCGGTGGTCTGGGGTTGGGGTGAGGAGGGGGGCCCGAGTGGGCCTAGAGGGTTCAGGGAGGGAGCTCTGGCTTGGCTGGCACCGACTTTCTCTCACCCACTGGGCATTGGTGGCGGGCCCTCATTGGCATGGGTGCCAGGCCCCAGGCCTCTCTCGCCCGACTGGTTTCCGCTGTTCTAGGCTTCTGCCCTCGTCCGGAACCCCAGAGTGGTGGGAGGGCAGATGTGGTGAGGGGAAGGGGTGGAGGTGGGAGGCAGCTTGTTGTCAGCTGCAGGAGAACCCGGGGTGGGCGTGGGGTGGGCTGTGGGGTGGGGTCAGGTACCATATGGCGGCCCCCTCCTCATCTTGGGGGAAGCTCCTTGGCTCCCCCTGAACTTGGAACATCTATGGGGGAAACCCCTATTCCAGCCTGTGGTACCTGTAGGAGGCTCCTGGTAGGGCAGCCGCGTCTTCTGGGTTGGGGGTTGTGGCGGGCTCTGCCCTGGGCCCCGTGGCCCCCGTGGGCTGGCCTCTGGATGCTGTCTCGGGGCCTGGCCTCCCCTCACACCCTCCACTGGTTCCCCTTTGGTGGAGGGGCCTGGCCAGGGCGGTCTTGGTCCTTCTCATCGCCGTCCCTAGCAGGTGTAGAGTCCAGGCCTGCTCTGTCGGGGGGCTGTGGCATGTGGGGCCCTGTGGCCCAAGATGTGCCTTGGTCTCCTTGGAACCAGCACGCTCCTTACGACCGTCCGCCCCCGCACTCTGCTGGCCCATGCCCTCCTCTGCCCGCGGGCGGGCGTCTAGCCAGTGCTGCCTCTCGCCGTCGCTCTCTGTCTTCTGCTGTAGTGCTCGGGTCCTTACGGGGCACCTGAGGACGTGGGGGTTGGTGCGCCGGGAGGGGGTGCAGCTGCGGACGTGATAGGGGTGTTGCATGGTATATTTTTCTCTCTCTCTGCTGATGCTCTAGCTTAGATGTCTTTCCTTTTGCCTTTTTGCAGTCCCTGTGGGCCTTGCTCAGAGCGGAGAAAGCATTTGTTTGTACAAGATCCGCAGACGTGTAAATGTTCCTGCAAAAACACAGACTCGCGTTGCAAGGCGAGGCAGCTTGAGTTAAACGAACGTACTTGCAGGTTGGTTCCCAGAGGGCGAGACAGTGAGAGAGGGGCATCACCCAGAGACGGGGAGAGAGCGAGAGACAGAGAGAGACAGAGCTTGAGAGGGGCCAGCTGCTTGCTCGGCTTCTAGCTGCCTGCCCAGTGACTGCTACCTTCTCTGCTCGTGAGGCTCCTGCAGTGGCTGGGGTGCTGTCCAGCCTGGTGTGGCTGGGTACGCTGGTGTGGCTTCATGTGGCAGTGTATTGTGTCCCACGGTCCTGCTGCTCGTGGTGGCTGTCGGTCCTGATGTTGTCACCCCTAGTCTCCGGCCTGAGGAGCGCAGAGCCATCGGGTGTGGGACCAGCCTCGCCCGGGCCTGGCCACTGCCCTCTGCAGCTGGCAGAACTGGGCCTCTCAGCCCCTCAGGCTCCCATTGGGGACAGGGATTGAATCTCCGCGCCTCCCCCTCCCCCCATCATCCTGCCGTCGCCTTTCCAGGGAAGGTCCCCAGATCCCTTCGGTCCTCCACATGTCTCGGGGACAGCCCTGGGCAGCCGCACCTCTGCAGAAGCCCCAGGGCGAGTGGAGGTGGGAGCCATGCCCGCTGTCCTCACGGTAGACACTGAACGTGGGTCTTGTACCCTTGTACTTGGCCCTGTCAAGGGTACGAGTGAATATGTGACCAAGCCCCAGGGGGTGAGGCCAGGCGCCAGGGGCTGTGGTGGGAGGCTGGCAGTGCCGCGTTCTTGAATCCCCACCCTGGCCCTGGCTGGCCGTGAGGGTGGCTGGGCCAGCATCCCTCAGCAGGCAGGCAGGGAGGCAGGCAGGCAGGGTCCTTCCAGGGATTCCCCCCTCCCCCAGCTAGAACACAGGCTCCACGACCGCCCTTGGCGAGTGTGTGTCCCCCAACCCCCGCGGATGTTGTGGCTGTGGGTGCTCCAGGGACTCCGCGCCAGGCCCTGTTGTTGGTGTGGGGTTTTGTCTGTTGTGGTGTCGTGTGGGGACAGCAGGTGTCTGTCAGCGCCGGGGCCTGGATGAGCGGGGTCTCCGGCAGAGAAAGGGCCGGAGGCCTCAGGGTTTCCGTGGTGTTTTTTCCGCAGACTGGGAGCCGGCATGCGTGCGGTGACAGGGGGGAGCTAACTGAAGCTCCCCCACCGCCAGGGCCTCCCCTAGTCCCCACCTGCTGGGCCTGTGTCTGGGAGCTGCAGTTCCCAGGACTGGATGCCTGGGACCCCACCCCCAGGCCCTCCTACAGGGCAGGGTTAACAGACACGAAGCCCAGGAGCAGGGGCCCAGTAGAGCCATCTCGGAGGAGGTCCCCTCTGCTTCCCCAGGGGTAGTGAAGCCACGGGATCGCCCCAGCCAGCCGCAGAGACATGGGTCCTGCAGCCGAGGCCCGGAGGACATGGGCAGTGCACGTGTTTCCCTGGCGCCCCGGGGGCTTCCAGCCCCCCTCGCCTGGGGTCCTTGCTGTCCTCCCTGCCAGGGTTTCCCCGGCTTGGGGTGATAGCTCTGATGCTCTGGTGCCCTGCCCACCCTCCTCCCCGAGCCAGCCCCTTCCACCGAGGGCTGAAAAGCCGCCTTCCACAGGGTCCATCTCCCCGAGTGACCTCACCCTGCCCCGTCACCATCAGCTCTTAACGTGTCCAGTGGGGACTGCCCTTTGGCCATTGTCCATGTGTTTCTTTGTGAAGTGTTCCAGCGTCTTCCGTCTTGTCTCCGCGCACCACAGGCTCTAGCGGGCAGACTGGGAAACCCTGTGGGTGGCTCCTGCTTGGACTGGGGCCCCCCCCAAGGGCAGGGCTGGGTCCTCCAGGCTTCCTGTGTCACAACTGCGCCCTCCCTGCTGCCTGCTCTTACAGGGACCCGGGGCCTCCCAGGCCAGGGGGTCGGCTGCCTGCCCTGTGGCCCTAACCCGCCCTCTCGCCTTTGCCTCCCTTAGATGTGACAAGCCGAGGCGGTGAGCGGGGCTGGACTGAAGGGGCCTCCCTCAGGGTTTCGGGAACCAGACCTCTCACCGGGAAAGACTGATCGCCAATGAGCGCCGCCGCCGCCACCACCACACCGCCACCACCGACAGAACAGTCCTTGATCCAGAAACCTGAAATGAAGGAAGAGGAGACTGCGTGAGCACTTTGGGGCCGGAGCGCCAGAGTCCGGCTGAGCGTTCCCGGGCGGGTGACCAAGCACGGGCCCTCTTGGAATTGGATTCGCCAATTTTGTTTTTCTTGCTGCTAAATCACCAGGCCCGGAAGATTAGAGTTTTATTTCTGGGATCCCCGTAGACACGCCTACCCACATACATAACGTTTATATATATATATATGTTATATATATATAAAAATAAATATATATATTTTATATATATATAAAATATATATATCCTTTTTTTTTTTTAAGTTAACGTTGCTAATGTTATTGGTGTCTTCACTGGATGTATTTGACTGCTGTGGACTGGAGCTGGGAGGTGAATGTCCCACCTGAATCCCAGTAGGGGAGAGGACGGGACGAGACGTTCTGGCTTGGTTCTGTGGTCCCTCGCGGGAAGCCAGGGCCCTCTCCCCTGCCCAGGAACATGCAAGGCCAGGTGCAAGGGCGAGCGTGGCCGTCTGCTGGGAGTGTGGACAGACCCAGCCCGACCCCGAGCCTCTCGACTCCCAGTCCAGCGGACACAAAGATGACAGGTCTGGGGACAAAGACGCTGGCTCCGACCCAGAGTTTGTGGGGAGCCTCAGGACGTGGCTGTGCGCTGGGGCTCCCTTCCACGTGCCACACGGGCACCTCACCCCCAGGGGCGCTGCCTGGAAGATTCAGGAGCCTGGGCAGCCTTCACCTACTGTCATCTGCTTCCGAGTTGCCCAGGAGGCCACCGGCAGGTGTCCCGGCGGAAGAAGAGTGGACGAAGTAGTAGCCCGGTGACAGCTCCTCCTCCTGGGACCCACCCGCCTTCTCTTCCCGCCTCCCTTCTCCCCCCACTTCCTGGGGTGCAGCCTGGGAGTCGTCAGCCCATGGAAACCACTAGTTCTGCCCCCCCGTCCCCGGAGAGCTGGCTGTGTGTGTGTGAGTGGTTCCCTCTCCTCTGACCCCATTCCCCTCCCGAGGCACAGAGACGCAGGGCAGGATCCACGTGCCCTCCACGGAGGCCGAGAAAGAGAAAAAGTGTTTTATATACGGTACTTATTTAATATCCCTTTTTAATTAGAAATTAAAACAGTTAATTTAATTAAAAAGTAGGGTTTTTTTTCAGTATTCTTGGTTAATATTTAATTTCAACTATTTATGAGATGTATCTCCTGCTCTCTCTCGCTCTCTTATTTGTACTGGTTTTTTTGTGTACAAAATTCATGTTTCCAGTCTCTCTCTCCCCGATCGGTGACAGTCACTCGCTTATCCTGAACAGATATTTAATTTTTGCTAACACTCAGCTCTGTCCTTCCCTGTCCCCGGCTCCCCACCACACATTCCTTGGAAATTAGGTTTCAATATACATCTGCATACTATATATATATTTGGCAACTTGTGTTTGTATGTATATATATATATGTTTATGTATATATGTGATTCTGATAAAATAGACATTGCTATTCTGTTTTTTATATGTAAAAACAAAACAAGAAAAATAGAGAATTCTACATACTAAATCTCGCTCCTTTTTTAATTTTAATATTTGTTATCATTTATTTATTGGTGCTACTGTTTATCCGTAATAATTGTGGGGAAAAAAAGATATTAACATCACGTCTTTGTCTCTAGTGCAGTTTTTCGAGATATTCCGTAGTACATATTTATTTTTAAACAACAACAAAGAAATACAGATATATCTTAAAAAAAAACATTTTGTATTAAAGAATTTAATTCTGATCTCAAAGTTCCTCTTGGTCTTCTCCTTCTCCATTGAGTCCTGGTTCCAGGCTCCCTCCTGCCCCTTTTCCTCCTCCCCTGGGGAACACGGCCTTGGTCTTAGGTCTGGGAGAGGGTTGGCCAGGGGCTAGCATGTGGGGTGTCAGGAGCGGCTGGTCCTGGGGGAAGTTGTCTCCCCGCTCCCCCCGGAGCTGATACAGGAGGCAAGGAACGCCTGCGCCAGGGGCCGAGGACCTCGCCCGCCTGCGCGAGTCGGCGCCTTCCTGTCCCTCGTTCTGGGAAGGAACCAGTTACGTCTCCAAGCTCGCTGCCTAGGAGACAGAAGAAGGGGACCGTGGCTGTGTGTGGCCCTGGGGTGCTGTGGGCCCTGCGACCCCATGCTGCAGTGGGGTCGCACAGCGGGCGGCGCCCTGGCTTCCTCCGCGACAGGGATGCACCACTCCGCTCACACGATGATGACGGGGACTCTGTCCGCCCTGGCTGCATGTGCCCTGGAGCTTACCTGCCTGAGCTTTTGGCATTGGCGAGCGGTGTTTCAGTTCCAGGTCTTTCGGCCTCTGCATCAGTGTAGTTTGAAGAGATGCCAGCCGGCCACTGCACTGCGGCACAGCCAGACCCAGGTCCACACCTCCAGGAGCCCGCGAGGGCCAGTGGGTGTGGAGAACCAGAACCAGGAAGGTGCTGATAGAAAAATCCAGAATGTGGTGAGGGTCTAGCACGGGGGTGGGGCTGTGGTGGGGAGACAGACCCGGAGAGGGGGTTCTTTTCACCCCAGCGCTGCTAGGTTGCCCTTAAGGGATGGGCAGAGCACCCCTAAACCGGGAGGGGAGGTGCAGGGTTTGAGAGAACCCCAGGCAGGAGGGGTGGTGTGAGGTGGGGAGTGGCGCGAGCTGGAGGCTGGAGGGGCGGGCATGGTTTAGCTCGAGGGGCACCTGCAGCAGAGCCCAGGGCTGGCCGGGGCTGAGCAGCCTCTGTAAGACTATACAGGCAGTAGCCATCTGGGAGACAGTTGCCTTCTGCCAGGTGCTGGGCTACAGTGAGGGAGGCAAGGGGGGCAGAGGGGCCAGCAGTTCTTTCCGGGGCAAAGGCATGAGCGCGGTGTGGTGACCTGGGTGACTGGCGGTGTGGCCAGACTGTGGTCCATGCCGAGTGCACAGGACGTGCGGTCTCTGCCCTCAGGAGGCTTTGGGTCTCAGGGCACCCCTTCCTTGGTCACTCCCACATATCGGTTCAAGCACACAATATCCGTGCGAGGCAGGCAGGTACCCTTGTGGTCCACGGGGATGTTTTGTCTGGAGCATCCGTATTGGCTTCCTCCGTTTTCTGACCTCCCTTTGGTTGGTTTTTATATCGTGGCCGGAGTGAACCTGTTAAAATGTGGTGGGGCTAGTGCTGTGGCGTAGCGGGTAAAGCTGCCGCCTGCCGTGCCAGCATCCCATATGGGCGCCGGTTCAAGTCCTAGCTGCTCCACTTCCAATCCAGCTCTCTGCTGTGGCCTGGGAAAGCAGTAGAAGAAGATGGCCCACGTCCTCGGACCCCTGCACCGGCATGGGAGACTGAGAAGAAGCTCCTGGCTCCTGGCTTTGGATTGGTGCAGCTCTGGCCATTGCAGCTAATTGGGGAGTGAACCAGCGGATGGAAGACCTCTCTCTCTCTCTCTCTCTCTGCCTCTCCTTCTCTCTCCGTGTAACTCTATGACTTTTAAATAAATAAATAAATCTAAAAAAAAAAAAAAAAGCTTGTGCCCATGTGGGATGCCAGCACTGCAGGCAGCAGCTTAGCTGATGATGCCACAGCGCCAGCCCCACGTCACCTTCTAACACACGCGACGACAGCAGCACCATCCAGTGGAAATAAAATGTGTGCTACACATGCAATTTAAAACTCTAGGAGTCAGATTTAAGAAGGTGAAAAGAAACAGGTGCAGTTCATTTTGATAATATTTTATTTAACCCCAACCTACTTAAAATCTCATTTCTTTCTTTTTTTTTTTAAATCTCATTTCAACATCTAAGCAATATAAAGCATTGAGATTTCACTTACTCTTTTGGTACTGACTCTTCAACTCTGGCGTGTATTTTACACTTCTCGCCTGTCTTTGTTGGTCGTAGCCCCATTTCAAGTGCTCGATATATAACGTGTTGCTAGTAGCTACCGCTTTGGACAGCGTAGCTCTAAAATTTACTCTCCCTTTCTTAAGAAAAAAAAAAATAGTATTTATTTTCACTTGATTTGAAAGGCAGAGAGACGGAGAGAGAGACAGACGGAGAGACATCTTCCCACTGATTGACTGCCCCAAAGCCCTCAACAGCCAAGGATGCACCAGGCTGAAGCCAGAGTTCAGAACTCCACCCAGGTCTCCTGTGTGGGTGGCAGGGACCCGAGTGCTCAAGGCCTCGCCTGCTGCCTGCCGGGGTTTGCATTAGCAGGGAGCCAGATCCAAAGTGGAGGAGCTGGTTCCTGAACCGGGCGCCCTGATGCGGGACACAGGCGTCCCAAGCGGCGACTTAACCCCTGCGCCAAACTCCCACCCCTATGCTCGCTGTCCCTTCTCTCCCCCATTAGAATCCAGCCTCCAAGGGGGCAGAGATTTTTGTCTGTGTTGTTCCTTGGGTGCACAGCTCCTAGAACAATGCCTGGAATGTAGTACATGCTCAATAAGCATTTTTAAAATGACTGCCGTTGTTGGAAACGGCTTGGAGGTGAGGATTTCATCCCCAGGGTATGGGAGATGGGCACGGGATTTCTGCAGAGAGGCCAGAAGGGGCTGGTGGGGGCCGGCTGGACAGGTGGGGACTTGAGCAGGGTTTGGCTGGGAGCAGGGAGCTCAGAGCCAGGCGGTGGGGATCGGGGGCAGCAGCCTGCTCCTCCTTTGCGCCTCGCTGGACCTGGGGCTCGTTATTGGCGTGGGGTAGGGGAGAAGCAGGAGGCCCAGAGAGGGTAAATAACACGCACGGATCTCCGCTCGGCCCGTTAAGTGTCCGAGCCAGAATTGAAACCAGCTTTCCTGACTCCCTTTCCAGTGCTCTTGCTACCACGCCACAGCTGCCCCAGGCATGGGCAGGACATCAGCACATAAAAATCAATCGTCTAGACTGAATACAAACAGGCGGAGGGAAAGTGGGACAGGGGGAGGATGCAGCAGTGGCCAAAGGCAGGGCTGAAGTCCAGGCTTCCCCCAGCGCGGTAAGGCAAGGCAGGACAGGCAGAAGACGTCTCCAGGGGCTGCGGCTCGGAGGCAGAAGATCGGAAACCTAGGCACGCAGGGGATTGCAACACGCGCCCTTGGCAGAGAGGAAAACGGTCTTGAAATCAACCGTGGAGAAAAGGCAAGGCAAACGCTGCCATCCCCCAGTTGTATAGGATCTGCTCAGACACCCCCGGGGAGCCTTCCCCCAGGGGCTCTCCAGGCCAACACCTGATCAGGTCCCAGGCGTCCCCTCGCAGGTGTCTGGAGGCCCCGCTTCTCTGCTGGCACCGTTGGCACAGGGCTCAGCGATTCCGCTGCTCTTTCCGGTGTGAGGAGGCTCGGGGGGCCCGGGTGAGTCTGACCACCGCACTCCTTCCTGCCCCTGTGTGCATGCCGCCCCTCCCAGCAAGAAGCCGTCCCTCCTTTGCTGCACCTGCGGCGGCTGGCCTTGCAACCTGCTTTGCCTGAGGATGGGCACAGGGACATTTTGTGCCTTCCAGGCCTGGGCCCTGAGCGGTGTGGCAGCTTCCCTTTCGGCTTCTTAAAGGCAGCTGCCGTGCTAAAAGGAAGTCCAGGGACCTGCTGGAGAGGGGCCGGGGTGGGGTTGGGGGTGCAGACGGGCTCGGCCAGGACCTGCCCAAGCTAAGCCACCCAGTGAGGTGCCTGGGATTCTGCAGTTGCAGCTGAGCCACTCCTGCATGCAAATGTGTGGAATGCTGTTCAAAGTGATGAAGTTGCAGGGTGATTGTGACCCAGCAGTAACAATTGGACAGTTGCTCCTCGGCTTCAGGACCAGGGTTTTACTGGTGTGCATAAAGCTAACCGCGGGTACAGGGAGGTTCAAGGGAGGAAGGGTGGGCCGGTTTCGTGGTGCCGTGGGTAAGGCTGGTGCCTGGGACACTCATCCATGTCACAGCTCCGTCCAGCTTCCTGCTCACGTGCACCCCAGGAGGCAGCAGGTGACAGCTCAAGTATTTGAGTTCCTGCCGCCCATGTGGGAGACCAGGATGGAATTCTGGGTTTCTGTCTTCTGCCTGACCCAGCTGTGGCTGCTGTAGGCATTTGGGGAGTGAACCAGTGGACAGATTCTCTCTCTCTCTCTCTCCCTCTCCCTCTTGCTGTTGCTCTGCCTTTTGAGTAAGTAGACTGAAAACAATTTGCAAAAGGGACGGAAGGACACGTTCATGAGTCAGAGGCCAGGGGTCTGTCCTAGGTGGAACAAAGGGCCGTCAGATTTCTAGAGTATGGAGAGAGATTCAAGTCCATGGAAGTCTCGCCGAGTGAAGGGGGCCTCACCTGCAGCACGAGGGAGCGAGGACAAGCCCACCGGAGCCGGAGGCGAAGGCCGTGCGAGCCTCTGCTTTGCCTGTTGCTCCCGTGCCCCGGTGTCTACGGGCCGTCAGCGGTGGGTGCCGAGCTGGCATGGGACAGCCCCTGAGTTGCTGGGGGATGGACCAGGCGACCCTCGGAAGGTCCTACCAGGTTGGCTGCAGCTTTGCTGGGAGGCGGTGACTCAGCTGCGCCTGCATTGAACAAGGGAAGGAACCAGCAAACACTCATCATCTGTCCAGCAAAGACGGGGCCTGTGGGGGGAGGAGCTGGAATCCAGGGCCAGGGATCCCAAGGGAAGGCAGCTGCCAGGCCCAGGAGCCTGGGGGACCACCAGAGACGGTGGCGTCTGGGCGAGTGTCTCTGAGGAGGCAGGCGGGACTGCGGCTGACCAGGGTGGGCGTGGGGTTGGGGACAGGGCCCTGCCTTCAGGATGCTCCCTCTCTCCCAGACTCTAGTCTGAGGGAGGAGACAGACCCCAGCCTTCA